AGTGGAGGAGGAGTTGGTGCCAGAGAATTGGAGTCTGGACCCTTGACCCAGACGACCTTCCCCAGGCAGGCCTGGAGAAGTAAGAAAGCAAGCCCTGGGGAGGCAGGAAGGACCGCAGGGGGAAGCAGGGGCTGTGGGCACTTGGCAGTCCCAGGAGACAGGGGACCCTGGGCCTGCCAGCTCGTGGGTCACATCGCTTCAGGGCAGCTGGCACAGAGCCTGCTTCAGGCCAGGCTGAGACTCAGAAAGGAGCCTGCCTGGCTCATTTAAGGCTCCAGGGATTGGGAACATGGTTCTGACATGCTCAGCTGTGCCCAGCAGGACACTGAGATGAAACTGAATGGGAATTGCCCACATAAGCAGCAACCCCAATATCTCACATGGTGGTAAACTGGTGATTCTCTGCAAATCAGTAATCGTTTGTTTGGAATAATGCCAAAAAGATGCAAGAGAAAACCAACGTGGCTGAGCAGTGGCACTAAGACAGAAAGGTTCTGCACCCCTGGGGGTGGGGTGTGGAGACCATGGGAGCCACCTGTGACACTCACAACCATGCTCTGCTCTGTGTGTTTAGCCCCTGATCCAACAGACTCTCCCAAGCCTGTAGCGAGAACAAGGCTGCCGAGTTGGACTTCCTCTCGTCCATTTCCCCAGGGCATCAACAGCAGCCAGCCCATGGATTTGAATAGCCCGCTAACCAGGTGAGCAGAGCTGGACCCACAGACCTTTCCCACTGTTGCCTTGGGACAGCTCTCCTCGGGACACTCTCACAGGGACCCCCATTGGCCCCCCTGATGTTTCCTCTGCTGGGGAGAAACAGCGAGGTCTGCGCTGGGCCCCCTCTTTGTTCCTCTGAGTCCTTAAAGAGCTCCCCCTCCCCACAAGAAACCTAGGCAAAGTTGTTCAGCTGGGCTGTAGGAGAGAAGCTTCTGGTCTCCTTCTGACCTGCCTCCCAACCCCCAAGCAGCCAAAACAGGCACAGGTGTTTTCAGCCTCAAGTTGCCAGAAGGGAAGGGCTCTGGATTAGCTCCCTGTGGCTTCTGGAGCAAATCACCACCACCCTGGTGGCTGAAGGCAAAACGATGTTATGATCTTAAAGTTCTGGAGACAAGGTCTGGGATGAGGCTCACTGGGCTAAACTCAAGGTGCTGGCAGGGCTGGCTCCTCCTGGAGGCTCTGAGGGAGAAGGGCTTCCTTGTCTTTTCCAGCTTCTGGAGGATGCTGCACCCCTGGCTCATGTCCCTCCATCTGCACAGCCAGCAGGGGTGGTCAAGTCTTTCTCACCCTCATTACTCTGACACTGGCTCTCCTGTGTGCTTTCATTTATAAAGACACTGGCGATTCTATAGGATCCACCCAGATATCCCAGGATCACCTCCCCATCTCAAGGTCAGCTGCTGGCAAACTTAAATCCATCTGTATCATTAATTCCCCCATGCCATGTAACATAACACATTCACAGGTCTGGGGATTAGGACATCTTTGAGGGGGGTCGTTATTCTGCCCACAGACAGTCAAGCAGGTACCTGTTCCATGGATCCAGCCCTCCCTTCCCCAACTGCTAGGGAAATGCTGGGAAGGAATGGGAAGCTGACATTTCTGCTTTCTCACATTCCCAACTTGGTCAGTCAACAGGCTGGGCCATCAATCTGAAACCCACCCCTTCCACAGGCATCCAAAGAACAATCAATTAACTCTTTCTTCAAAGGGCAAACACCCTGCCCCAGTTTCACCCCATCCGAGTTCAGGGTGAAGGTGCGTTTCCTCCCAGAAGCCCCCTTCACCACCTCCCTTCTGGTACAGTCTCTCTTCCTTCCCTTCTCAAGGATCCTACTCCTTGGAGCTGCCCTGCTGGACAGTGTGTTCAGTCATGTGTGCAGCCAGGCACTTGGTTCATGCTTCACGATCGGCCTCTGTCCTGCTCGTGACTATTTAAAGACCAGTTGTTCTGTGGAGTCAGAAGGGGAGGATGCGGAACTTTTAGGGGACTGAGGGGCCCAGGAGGAAGCCTGCAGGTGGAGAGATGGGGCGGCAGCTCCACAGGAAGTGGGGCATGGGAAAAGAGCACAGTGGGTTCAAGGATAATTTAAGAAGTACAAAACATCGTGTCTTCTCTCTCAAGAGAACCCCCTGTGAAATGAACATGACAAATCTTGCTCAAGGCAAGTGGAAGGAGAAAACAAGGCCGGCCTGCAGGGGGTCCTGGCACTGCTTGTAGGGGAGGGGATGAGGCAGAGGTTGAGGGGGTCAGATTCTGGATACTGATGG